CCTATCCCCTGTGTGCCTTGCCTCCCACGACTAATGGTTGTAGAGTAATATAATGCAACCACACTTCTAGAAAACCATATTTTAATACAATTGTATGACCCCAAATTTTGCACACACACTCCTTTCATCCCACTAATCAATACCAAAAAAATAAAATTGATTTCAAGTTTTGAAAATAGTGTATTTTGTATTGCATTTTTTGACCGTCAATTTTCAAGATTTTTAAGTTTTCATGGATATGTCAATCTACACTATGTTTGAACTTTAAACTTTATAAATAAGAGAAATGATCATATATGACCCTCTCCCACCCATGTGTGTGGGTTGGCACAGATCTCTAAAAAATTCAAGTCCTACACCCCTGTGATAACTTTTTCAGGGATCCATACTAAATTTAATGGTGATCCTTTGAGATCCTACACACATTGGTGGAGGAAGGTCCTATAGGATCATTACTCTATAAATAAAGATGAAAATATATTTTAAGGCTATCTCAAAGATATCAAGTGTTGAAACCACATTTCTCGACACTATTTAAATCTAGGCTCTAATTTGATTGTTTAGACCCTAGGCTCTATATAAACCACACACTATAATTAATTATTCAAGAGCAAAGTAAAAATTTATAATAGAATGAAGAAAATGACATTATTTATATGAAATGCGACACCCACATTGAGTATTAAATGACATTAAATTCTTATAGAAATATCTATAAGAGACAACAACTCAAGACAGCCCCGATCCCCATAAGGTTTGACTAGATCTACTCTCGGCCTGGCATTATGCTAAAAAAAAAAAATTCAAAAAAAAAAAAAAACTAGAGATGGGCTGGGCCAGCTCTGTTGTGATCTTGGCCCGACGGTCAGGCCACATTTTGTCACCTAGACCAGTTTTTTTAGACCCGGGCCAACGAGGTCACCTGACCTGACCCGTTGCCACACCCTTAGAGGGGAGCTCTTATCTAGGTACCAAAGAGTACATGGAGCCATTAAATGGGCCATATCCTGCTCTATTGGGATTATAAAAGGCGTAGGAGCCAAAACCTTCCCAGCGAACAAAAACCGAAAGAGTAAGAGAGAGACAGAGAAACGTCGGTACACGTGTCATTACTGGTTGTTCCGGGCGCGGGCGCGGGCGCGAGCGAGGGCGCGGGCGCGGGCGCAGGCGCAGGCGCAGGCGCAGGAGAGAAGGGCAAAAACTCGGTCCCTGTCAATTGGTTGTTTTATTGCTCTCACTCTCCCCTTTCATTGCCCTCTCTTACTTGCTCTCCCTCTCCCTCAGGCCTTGGATTACTCATCCTCCATTGAAATAGAGATAGAGAGAATCCTTCACTGAAATAGAAATAGAGAGAGGGGAGGATGGCTCGTGGTACATCCCAGTCTCAGGCCTCATCGTCGTCTTTGTCTCGGCCAGGGTTAGCGGCCCCAAGAGGCACCCCTGCTGCTTCAGCTGCCGGAATGCGTCGCCGCAGGATCAGCACGGGAAGCACCCCAGCTTCCGCCTCTGCCAGCGGAGGCAGCAGCAACATGCTGAGATTCTACACCGACGATGCACCGGGCCTGAAGATCAGCCCCACTCTCGTTTTGGTTATGAGTCTCTGCTTCATCGGCTTCGTCACTGGCCTCCATGTCTTCGGAAAGCTCTATCGCTACAACACTGGGAGCACTTGACTTCTCTACCGCCTCTCAGTTTGGTTTTTATCACTCGCTAGTCTCTACTTACCTGTAAATTCTTCTAGGTTTTCTTTTTAGATTTTTGAAGGAGGGGGAATCTTTTCTCTCCCATCTCAATTTTTTTTTTTTGTCTTTGTTGAGGGGCCTTTATTCTGTTGGGAGACAAATATGCTTGGTTTTTTTCTCTGTCTTTTATTTTATTTTTTTTCCTTTTCTGGTGTAAAGGCGATGGACTCTTATGAATGTTGTTCTGAGTGTCTTATATGCCACAATCTCTTTTCATTGTATGGAAATCCTTTTTTCTATTTTTTCCTATAGGGTTTCCTTCTAGCTGTGTTTTTATTGTTGATTATTTACACTTGTGTCTGTAATTTTACATGATGCTCTGGTTCCACGTGGGAAAGCAATAGCAACTTCCACTCATTTCTTTGTTGGATATGGGGACATGATTATTGCTATTTTGTGCATCTTTTCAATTTTTCATTGTTAGGTATTGGCGGACGAATGATTCAGACAACGTAGAACAATCCATTTGCAAGACCCAGCGGTTTGCAATTTGCAGCTATTTGTTCATCTTTCCTTTTGATGCCTGATGCGAATACATTTTCGTGCAATGGAATCCATACTTTTGCCATCGCAGTACCTGATATAAAAAAATCGAAACACGAACAAAATCATTCCCCTGTTCAAAACATAGAAGATGATATAAAAAAGAATCTGCACGTTTTCTTTCATGTATGGTTGATATCCTGGAAAAATCATTTTGCATGGTTCACTTAGTTCTGAAAGTCATAGGTATGGCTACAGTGGTGGAAGCAGGTGGAATATGATAAGTTTTGAGCAAATTTGACTGCCTTTGTGATATTTACCTTCCCATTAATGTCAGTCTATCCTAACCTGCAACCTGGATAAAAGTGACCTTAAAATTTTACTTGTAGCTCTGGCTGGCATGCTTCTTTCTATTCATTTGGAGCAAGGGAAAGAAATTATCCTGGCATCGTTGCAGTTTCTCAAACCCTACGATTGTAGAGAGGCTCGTCTCTATCATAACATTCGTTTTTTGAGTTACCATTTAAAAAAAGAAAAGAAAAGAAAAGAAAAGAAAAGAAAGGAAAAAAATGTTGATTGTCACAGGATACTCCTAATCTCGTTGATGAGTCCCACTTTTGGTAGTTGAAAATGTGCCCTAGTTACTGATACGCATAATTTTTTTTCGTGTATCTTCCGAAGTTTATGTTGGATAAAGTCTTCCAATATGTGGTGTTTTTTCTTGAAATATAGACTTCTAGCCTCTGCTGTGTTGAAGGTGGGTTACTGCTAAAATTGACCCATGTGACCACTTGCATGATTTGTTTCGAGTTGATGCATGGAAACAGGAACCATCATAGATGATTTTTGTTTTTCCTCTTCATTTTCTATTTTTGTGAGAAGCTAAATGTATTTCTATTCAACTTCTGTGTGCATTTTTTGCCAGTTGAACTTCTCTATGCAGCTGTATTCATTAAGCTAATAGTATTTATATTGGATCCGGTTCGGATTTACTTGATCGAGTTTTCTTATTGATGAGCTTCTCTTACTGCTGCTAGAGCACAGCATATGTGAGGCCTCAAAGAATATTCATGTATTAAACAGTTCGTATCATGGAGTTCCTAACTGTTATTTTTATGTCATAAGGAGGTGCATGCTCTCCATGTGAGTAGAGAAGCAAAAATAGTTCACTACTAAGATAAACATGGGATGAACTTTGGGAAATTTAAAAGTGGTGCTGTCTCTTGTCTTTCGAGAAGTTTTTGGACAACCCATCGTCAACAGGCAAGAAAAGGATTATCCATTTACAATGACTATACAAAGCCTACACCCATTGATTAAGCTGAAACCATGATTTCTCTGCCAATTTCATATTGTTACTGTGAGTGACAAAATTTTTTCAGAATTAAGACCTCCAGAAGTTTAAATCAGTGTAAGAAAACAAGGAATCGTTGGTTGGGATATTTGATAGACTTGGCTAACTCTGTCAGAGACTTGGTCATGCCCAAACAAGAAAACCATAAGATAATGGGAACCGACTAGACTCTGCTGGTTCCCATGTGTATGGTTGTGGGCTTGGCAGGGTGCTGGGCCTGAGTGATTTGGGCGAGTCAGTGGGGTTGCCCAAGTTTACCAACGCTGATGTTAATTCTCTGGCGCAAAAACTTGGAAACTGCAAGGGGATTAGGAAAAATTACCTGGAGTTTGTTATTTATTTTGAATGGCCTTTACTGCCAGTCTCTTCATTGTCATCCTTTATGGGTTTGTAAGATTGCATCTTCTTTTGTGTTGGATAAGTAACAGTTCTGTGGAATCAAATGTGTATGTTATTTTTTTGAGAATGTTAATCTTTAATATATGGGAGAAAGAGTACAACCAACCGAGAATCAAATGGTTATGTTATTCTGATAGTACCTTTGTGAATATATGCAGTAAGTCAAATTATTGAGTTCTCATGAGCAATAGACACTTGGAGGTCTTTTTTCATCTTTCTCGGACAATTGATCACTTGGAAGGCTTTTATGAATCAAGATGGATTGGGCAAGAACAAACAGTGGGAAGGTCTCAATCTGCAGTTACTACCCATTAGTGAGGAGTCCAAGTCATGGTGCTAAAACTCGTGTCCAGGGTATAGTTCTCTAGCAAGTGTTGCAGGCCTGACAAGTGATAGAACTTTTCTGAAAGTTTCTTAATGAAGGGGATATTGTCATGTTGATATCTTGTTCATACTGTTGTTGCAAGTACCTTAGTCAAAGTTAAGAAAGATACTTATTTAGGCTATATGGTATCCAGATATATTTTATATCTTCTACACGAACTGCTCATACAAAATACATCCATCTGTAACAGTGTTTGGTCTCAAGATCTTGAAAGAAGATCTATTGAATGGCAGAATTATAACGTTGAGAAAGTTAGTCATATATAACAAACAATAATTGATTGGGAGGTTGTTCATTTTAAAGTGCCTCACATCTGAGGGCTTTGGGGGTTAAGTAATATTCTGAAACTGGCCCTCCTTAAGGTGGTTAGGATTAGGTGAAGTGGGTCTCTAGCCTTCTTTCTCGAAAATATATTCTGCCAATGTGAGTCAAATGGTTGGTTGATATTTAACAAAATTCGTTACCTAAGAATCTGCTTGTAGTCCAGAAACACCAAAAATCTTAGATTTGTGAGTTCTTAATTTTGGATTCATTATTTACCTAGAATTTTAGAGTGCTCGGATCAACTAGATCTGGAATCGAATCTCAAATCTGGTTTGCTGGTTTTGATTTTGGATGTTTGAGAAAGCATTGACAAAGATTGGAGGTATCAATTCACAGCAACTACAAATGTGGGATGATAAGCCTCAAAATTTTGGGTAAATTCCAATATTTCATTTTAAATTCATAGAATTGATCTATTTGAATTCATACTTTCATTTTTCATGTTTTATATACTTTTATTTTTAAATTATTTTTTGATTTTTCTATTTTGTAACAAAATTTTCAATTTAATTTTTTTTTGGGTTTAGGGCAACTGGGGGTAACTTGGCTTTGATAGGAAAAATATAGTGAAAGTTCCCCAATTTGTCATCCGAAAGGCTATTAGATTTTTTATGGGATTTCATTTTCTTTTAATGGTTCATCTCATGCAAGCAAGTTTTCCTTTCAAACGTGTGTCACCATGCCCTCATGGAGCTGTGTCTCTTATTGCCCCCAGCAACCAAGCCTCTGAATGCTGCTGCCTCCTCAGCAATGCTGTCAAGGGCCCAAGCGCCATCCATGGGTGTCTTCCTTGATTGGTTGTCTCTCCACTGCTGAAGCCTGAAATCCATATGACGGTTCCCTTTAACAAAAGGACATAACCTGCCGGAAGCTGTCTTATCAATGAAAGAGTCAAAAGTCTTATTATGGATGTTTCTTTAACAAAACAATCATGGCCTTAATCCCTTAACAACCCTGGTTATCTCCTTAACTGATTAGCTGAGGCTATGTAGCTCTGTAACACTGATGCTTGCGACTCAAATGTCTAGTTTCCCTAAGCTGAAGGAAATGGGATAATATATTAAAAACCATGAACGTATATTCAGGTTAGTTTGAATTTTGAAACATTCAGCTCTCAGCAGTTCCACTGGCAATGGCTCTTGCGAAGACAATAACCAATGTCAGATGCTTCATTTTGATACTTGACCGCCTCATGCCGCGGCAATGATCCTAGTTCTCGGAACTTCTCTGGGACAGAGTCTGATGGCCAGCAACTTATATCACCACTCAAGTGAAATCAGAACTTGGGTCAACTTCTCCTCTTTACTGACAAGCACCTTCCTCCATTTACCACCTAACTGGCTTTTCTAGAATGGTTCTGCCATATACTCGCGAAATGGTGAACATTATCAACCTCATGGCCATTGTTCAGCATCTAACTAGCCATGTTCTCAGAGGCTGACTTGTCATTTCAACATATCAAAGCTCATGAACCTCTTCTAGGCTGGAAAACAAGCTCACTACATTGATCAACCAGAAAGAGAAGGCTTCTCCGAGGTCAAATTACAAACCAATAATTTCTTGTCCAAATCTCATTTTATGTTTGAACCCCCCACTCCTCTTAAGATTCCTAAATGGTGAAACACTGATTTTGTTTGAAAGATTCCTAAGTGGTGTTTATACTTGGTTCTCATTACACTCTCTAGGCGACTTCAAATTTGCCCTCGTCAATCTCTGCTTTTGTTTCAAAATTAGTTGAACAGAAAATCCTCTTTTCTCATGCGCCTGAAGCCCATAATTGTCCAAGTGGTTTTCTGCAAAACCTTTTCAAGGAACCAAAAGACTATCTTATGAGGTATGAATGTCGTTAAAAATAAAAAATAAAATGCCGTCATATTTTACAATGTTGTTTAAAACAAATCTGAACCACCAATCAAGGGATGCGTCGATTTTTAAAAACCAGCTCCTAGATCATTTTATCAAAAATGCCCAAGTTGCCAGAGTTCCTAATTCGATATGTGTTTATTTAGATGATTTTTTCTATTTAAATCACTTGAGCAAAATGATGCAAACTCCTATGCACCCTGCTGACTTCCTCGAAAAAAAAATAAAAAATAAAAATAAAAATAAAAAAATAAATAAATCTGAACCACTAATCGAGAGGTGCCTGATCTGTTTTTTGGGGTGAAAGAGGTACCTGACCTTGGTATATATACAATGGACAAACTGCATCAAACCTGAGGTTAGTAGGTGATCATCCATGTTAGTTGATGAGTTTACACATCTACTATTTTGAGGTTAACTCTCTTTATGAATGCTCTAAGTGCTCCAGGAGGACCTAGGCCCTGACTGGACAATCAGGACAATCGCTATGATAAATTTCACC